AGCAGGAGTTAATTCCACTTTCTGCTAAGGTAGAGTTTGTCTGATTTCAGAGATGGATTGAAGTACAAGTTTGGGGAGATCAGCTATTTTTTGGCTTCACTTCTAGTGTACTTGTCACACGAAGGGGACAGGTGCCACAAAGTCCCTGCTCAGCCTGACTACTTTTCTCATTATCTTTCTTTTTCGATTGGTGATTTAAGTGTTCAGTAACTCCACCTATAAATACTCATATCAATTGCATTTGACAAAAGCTAAATTTGAAAACCTAAGACGGAAGTGTTGAATAGTCATACTTGACTGACCCTTACTGCTGTGTGTGTTTGATGTGATGATAAGAGGCGGGCTATAATAGCTTAGTTTACTTCATGCCCTCAGTAATACATGGAAAAACTCTCTGCTGAAATGTATCTAATGTATTCTTCTTCCTGCTCATGTGTTCAATCTTTGCCTTTAGATTACGCTTTCCCATACATCATAATGGTGTTGTCTTTGGTTACACTGGCTGTGTACATGTCTGCTTCTGAAGTGGAGGTAGGTAAACATGTTTCCTACCTTAAAACTCATGAAATACTTGTATGTGAAGAGATCACTGTGCCTCTTGCCTTTTCTCAGTAGTGTATTCTGCAGTTAAGCCTGTTCCTTTATGACTTCTCTTAGCTGGGGGAAGCTCCTGTGAGGCTTCCCTCTTGTGGTGCACTGAGAAATGGTGTTATATGCTGGAAGGGCTCAAACCCTGGAGGCTTCGTACAGTCTCTGTGCACAACCTATAACATCTCTTAAACATCAGGTACCAGGGAACAGGCTGAATGCTAACAGTATCCCTTGTTTGTTTTGCAAGTCTTTCAAGGATCTTCTTGTCAGGAAGAAAAGGCTTGTTGTCCTCTTCAGCCACTGGTTACTTCACGCCTATGGAATCATCTCCATTTCCAAACTGGATAAGCTTGAGCAGGACCTGCCCTTACTTGCCTTGGTACCTGCACCTGCCCTCTTCTACCTACTGACAGCGAAGTACACTGAGCCATCACGCATACTCTCAGAAGGTGGAAATGGACATTAAAAGGAGCCTGTGCCAACAATGCTGTCCTAATGATCTGGATTAAGCAATTTTAGTGCTTGTAATGCTTTGGAAACTTCTGTTTTAAAAGAAGTTATTTATCTACAGGACTTCTAGGTGAAACACCTCTATTAAAAAGCTGTACTTTGTATTCTTTGTAAGTATCTGATATAGATAGAAGGGAATGTCTTTGTATCTATTTATCACTGTGAATCTGTACAAAAAGCTTGTGACGCATCCTAGTACAGCAGTTTGCTGGTATATGTTTATTTCCTAACACAATATTTTAGGTGTTTGAATAAAACAATAGAGCCTGTTTTTCAATAAAACAAATAGACCTTGCATATAACATTGAGCTTGGTTTTCTCATTACATACTCCCATGGAAACAGACTTTCATTTTCCTTCCATCAAAAAATAAAATACGTTGAACATCATCTCATTTATTCCTCATGAGGCTTTCATTTTCTGCTAGGAAGAAGGTGAGGAAATGCATTGTAAAGTTCTCTATAAAGTATATATAGTTTATGCTCTGTGTACTACATGTATGGAGACCTCTTCCTGGAGCTGATTAAACAGTAGTAACCTTCTCCTAAGTTCATTTTCTTATACCTTGACTATAAATTTCCATCTAAGATCAAATTAAAGGTTTTCTTTTCCTGATAGCCTACACTTTTTGTCAGCAAACCACTTGCTGCGGGTAAGCCTGTGAAGCGTCCACCTTCTCTGCACCTTCCAGCACAGTTGCTGAAGCTCTGTCCTGTGAGGGAGCTTTGTGTCCATCTTATCGGATTGTCAGTGGTGCCAACAGCCCACCTCTCTGCAGCATGGCCGCAGCTGTACTCCTACCTACTGCAGCAACAGCAGTGGTCAGACAGGAGCTTTGGCATCTGAGAAAGGAGCGGCTTCTCTTCTTTTGCAGTAGCACTGCTGCAATAATAGAAACTGCTGGCATGACTGAGGTACAAAGGCAGCACAGATTTAATAAAAAGAACTGGAGCGTCTTTATCTCCTTAAAGAGATACCATTACCTCTGCTTTATGTTCATCAAAATCTTTATGTGAAGACCTTGATAAGAATTGTTAAAACTTCCGAGGCTGTTCAGAATTGAGGTTTTGGCCTTGCCAAAGCCAAATACCCACTGACAGACTCTAGTCTTCTCTCTAAATTGTCGAGGAAGATATGCAGGATATATCCTTTGGGTATTAGGCACCAGTGACTTAGTGCTATAGAGGGCCTGGAAGAAGTTGCAGAGCAGTGCTGAGGGTCTAAACACAGAGGGAAGAATAAGAGAAAGATCTTCTCAACTTAAACTCTGCCTGCTTTATGGATCGTTGGCTGTAACAGTGCAAATAACTGTATTTCCATACTTAAGTGTGATGGTAATGCCTTTTTTTATTCTATCATCTATCAACCCTGCTAAGGAGATCCTGTCAGCAGATGAGGGGTGTCATGTGAGTAGGGCTGCCTGGAGATGTCGCTCTCCTCTTTCTCAACGGAAGGTTTGATTTCATTACATCCCATATGCCTTTCCTGATGGCATTTCACAGAAAAAAACCCTAATTGACAGGTTCACCACTTCTAAAAATAGCATGGAAACAAACTAGGTCTTGCATGCAGAAGTAAGGTTTTATTTACAGATTAAGGAAATAATTGATCTCCTTAAGAAAATCAAATTCTGTCTATAACATAACATGCAATATATAAGTTGCAGAAATACTAATCTAGAGGACAGTTCTAAAAGTATGGTTTTAAAACTCATGTTAAAATACCATTTCCATAACCGACAGAGTCATAGGCATATTTGTCTTTAAAGTGTTCTAAACAGTCATGTGCCTACATTTGCACAGCTGTCCCATTAGTACAGGCAGAGTAGGCAGTAGCGCAGCACCGTGCAGGAAAAGTACTAAGGACTGCACACTTTTATGTGCATTTCTGTGGAGGGACTGTAAGTATCGGGTTTAAATGTTGGGCTATATCTTGTTTTTAAAAAAAAAGTAACAACTCCCAGGTAACGTTAGCTCTTTTGCTAGGTCTGCAGAATCATGTGTTAATTTTGAAGGCTGCAGAATGCGGGACTGTATTAGAAGCAGAACTCACAGGAAGGCAGTGCAACCCCATGAACCTTGCACGGCATCCCCAAATACTGACCGTCCTGCTGGGCTCCAGTGCTTTCTCCTTCAGCAAAACCTGGAATGCAAAATACAAATTAGTAAACTCTTTTAGCTCTTTAACCTTCTCTCACTAGCATTAAAAAAAAAAGAGTAACAGCAGCCAAAGAGTAAGGTAGACACAGCTAGATAAATACATGCAGTTTGGAATGACCAAGCAACGATTTTGTGCCAGCTTCTTGTGAAGAAACCTACCCTGCACATTTCACACAGAAAGTAATACTGGCTCTGGCTTTCAGATGAAGCAGGATTCTCTTTGGCTGTATGTTCACCATCCTTCCCCTCTCTACCTGACTTCCTTCCAGGGGCAGCCCCTTCCTCTGTAAATTCATCGTTCGTCTCCCTAGTTTCCTGTCACATTACCTAGACCCAATGATTTCAAAGGAGCCTGTATGCCATAGCCTTTCAGCTTCGATGTGTATAAAAAACACATTCTATAACAAGACAATGGTCATACAGTGACCAAACCTGTGACTCATTACAAATGAGACCTCTGTGAATCAACAAGTAAAGTAGATATCTATAGGACTTGAGTTAAAAGGAGGCTCTGAAGCAAGTAATTTGTATGTGCTTAGGGCCCCTGTGCAATATGACGCCTCCCCAAGACAAGAGTATAGAACATTGTTCATCTAAGTGGAAACAGCAGTACATATTGCCCACATGTAAAATTCTAGAGAACATAAGCATTAATTAACCATATAGTCCTACAGTGATAGCCACCCAACCACAAGCTGCAGGAGCTGGGGTCTGTTAGCTTTATTTATCCTTTGGGGAAAAGCAAACCAAGTTCTGGAAAGATCAGTGGTGCTCAGACTATTTTACAGCCCCCTCACTGTTATTATCACAACACTTTAGAAAGTGGAAGTTAAATATTATAAAATCCAAGCCATGTTATAAAGTGTACCTAGATCTTCTAATGAATGTACCACTAGGTCTCAATCTGCAGCAGGGTGATCAGATAAAACACAACTAGTACAGCCGTATTGTATCACAAACTGCTAAGAATTAACGTATTCTGGGATTTGGGGAAAAGAAAAAGGTTAGTGTATCTTACAGCGATCATCCATTCTAGATTTTTTGGCAACCAGAGAATCCAGTCCTTCCAGCTTATTTTGTAGCTGGCTATTAATATCACCAATCTTTTCCTCTCGTTGTTGAATTTTTGTTGTTAGAGCTGTCACTACGTTCAGTATTTCCTGCTCATTCTCCAGAAATTCCTGTAATGACACAGAGTAGAATTTATTTTTTCTTAAAAGACAAAAAAAAACAAAACCCAAAAAACCTCACAAAATGTTAAGAAACTTGTTTTGTTTATCTTGTTTTCCTGCAGCTTCACGGGCCACCAGACCTTTAGCTCTGCAGGACGTTTTTCATTAACTACCCAATCCTTGCATAAAAAAAAAAAACAAAGTTTGCCCTTCTAACAGAATAACTGGTGAAAAACTTTCTTGCATGATAGTTTGGTTTAATTCCTGTTCAAAATGAAGGACATCCCCAACTGGAAAAATATTACAAGGCTGATGAGATGAATGTAGAATGGCAAGAATGTTATTAGGTACAGGTTTAAGAAAGGCTTGAATATAAGACCAGCAAAAGGAACAATATTTGGAAAAATTATTTTTGTAGCCAGGACTTTAAGACAAACACAAGTTTAATACTTTGCCCCTGTATGAATTCAAAGATTGTAGTGCCTTATTTGCAAAATGCAATTTTATTTTTTACATAGTGATATGTATTTATGCAAACCAATACAACAGAAAACTGAAATTTACCTTTTGAATAAAGCTCTCCTCTGACCAGCCCTTCAGAAGAAGATCTACAACAAAGTTAACAGTTAAAATGTGTTAGACTGCTGTGCCAAAAAAAGACATAAGGACTGAAATACACTCTTTTAAAACTGTCACTTTTTTGTTTTGAAGTCATTGTCAACATGTTACCATGAAGCACTGCTAGGTCATTCAGGATTTTGACTGTTGCTGACTTGTGATTTTCTGCTTCAGAATTCATTGCAAAAATATCTTCTTTTAGCTGCGCATTGCACTGTGAAAAAAATAATTACAACTGAATAATTCTTCTAAATGCTTCTAAATAATTTCCAGTTTCACTGTTTCTAAAGAGATCAGGAAGAACAAACTGAGTTTTAGCTTACAGAAATACAAAGGTCAACGTATTCCTGTGGACACGCTTTCTTTCAACAGCAACATCCATTTCACCTTGTTGAACAAATTTTAACAGTTGCCAAAATCACCACAAGCCAGCTACATCTATGCTACCAAATAAAATGGATGAGGATGCTGAGAACAGCCGGAGCAGCACACTCCTCACTCACTCCCCCAAAATAGGATGGACTTACTCACGTTGGATCAGGTCGACCAGTACCCAGCTTGTACTGTCCCAGGTTTGGCTGAGATGGGTTAGGTGGCCCAGATCAGGCACAACAAGCAGCATTCCCCGGTGCAATATGGGCATCAGAAAAATCAGAGCTTCTCATCTTCTGTTAGTGAACTGAACATGAGGAGAGGGCTGTTTGTGTAGTGTAACCAAGAGTTTTCTTTCTGAGGGAGGCCTTTGTTTCCACAAGGGTATAATCAGAGCTGCAGAGTAGCTGGTACTTAGCATCTGCAGCACTACCACAGAGATTCAGGCACCCGCCCTTGCAGCAGTAGAGCTCAGTGCTTGCAGGCAGCAAACAGTGCACAGGGTTCAGATTGTCTCAGAAATGTAGTCCACATGGCTGTACAAATGTGGGTTCAGGTCCAGATGGCAGCCTGGTAACAGCTGGCCAACAAAACCACTTTTAGGATCCTTCATGTGTTTTACAGCAAAGGAGGTTCTACTATGCTGATAGCCTGGGGCCTGAAAGGTGTACAGCATATTTTAAAAGCATATATTCCAAATTGCACAGGCCTAGTCTACGTCTCATGTTCATCGCAGCCCCCTTCATGTGGCAGGAAGGTCTTTTCCTATAATCCCTGACTGAATGCAGCAGACATACGATATTGATTATGCCTCAGGGAAATGCCTTGCCCTTGGATATTCCTCTGTTTCTTTCTAAATCAAACACAGCCCCACACATTCATTTAAAAGGCCAGGTTTGACCTGTGCTGTTTATGTTTCATCATCTTCCACAGCTAGTTCTCTGTGAAATGAAAAATTAACTTCATACTGAGAAGGAACACTGTCAAGCTTCAACACTCACTAGTTTGAGTCTGCAGTTCTCAGTGTTCACAATGTCAAGTTTCCTGTTGATCTCATAGATGTCTCGCTCTAGCAGCTTCATAGTCTCTGTATGGTTTTTCAGTTGGACAACTGCAGCATCACGCTTGATCTGCAATTTGTTCCTCAGCTCCAGCTGTTAATAATAAACTCTTAGCTGCTAACTGATCTTTATATAGGATTTTTGTAATTAAATAAAGTAAAAAGGTTTTGTTATGTGGCACCTTTCATTTCAAAAAGTCAAAGTACCATCTGAGACAGGCCTATGCCCTCTTACCAACAAGGAGAGAGAGATACAGAGCGGGGAAGTAATTGCATATGGTCCACAAGGAGCCAGCTGTGACATGAAGTCACCTTCCTGCTGGGTCACCCAACGACAGGAGCATCACTTTTCTGTCACTCGAGGCTCAGGTGTGCACAACTGCTTTGTTGTGCTATTCCTATTCTGATATAGTAACTGGTCTCCCTTTTCTGAACAGAGACAATTTCTGTGTTGATGGGGCTTCTGTGGAGCTCAGAGAGATTTGCCCATTACCAGACCACTGGGGCACAAATCCTGCTATCTGGCCAGCCTCATAAGAGCCTTTCATGTAGTTTATTCAGCTTGTCTTATGCTTCCAGTAACTAAAGACACTGTAATTCTTCAGCAGAAGGCATGACTGTGTTTCTCTTCCACCTAGAAGTTTTGTTCTGTCAGAGAAACAGAAGGCAAAAGCAATCTGATTGTTTGCCTGCGATGTACAGCTGAAGCAAGCTCTGGCCAGGCTGCCTGATACCCAGCAGCCCTAAGAAAATGGCTCCAGTACATACTGGGACCGGTTGTGTAAGCACCATAAAAGTGGCCAGTGCGGGCACAGCAGGTCTGACATGCACAGTGGCTACCGCACCCAGGCCCATCAGCTGTAGCAGGTGTGAGGGTGGCTGTCAGAGTCACTGCGAGCTCCGCAGGGACATGGTCTGGGAGCAGTAGGGGTACCATGTCTCAGGCATTTTGAGCCACTGCAACTACCCCCACAGCTATACAAGCTTCTCTCTCCTCATGCTGGTGCTGATTGAATGCCTGAAGTCAGAAATGAGAAATACAGGTAAAAAAGCAAGGATACAGAAAGATTTTTCAAATATGAGTTGCTGAAGTGGCAGAAATACCTGCCCTAGCAGTAGAAAGCATCTGAATAGAAACAGGTTCACAAATGGCCATAGTTCACCAGCTTCTTTTTGGCCTGCTCATGTGCCTAAGGAATGCAAAAATCAAGCACAAGGGCAGCTTGATATAAATATTGGGTTACAGGCTGAGCTGAGGTCTGAGGCATTGCCCAGATGGCAACACAGCCACAGAGAGGAGGTATGACCTCAGCCCCAGCCTGTCTTCCTTGGTCCCCATCTCCATGGGTGCTTGTTCTTTACTGGGAGGATATAAGCTGGTGCTGGAAACTTTGTAGCAGTAGTACAGCTAAGTTTTAAGCTGTTACCATGTCCTCCTTGAGCTTCCCAGTAGTTTTGATTGACTCCTGAATGGCTCTTTTGACTCGTACCTCTTCATCTTTCTTTGCTACAAAGCAGAGAAAGGGTTTTTAGACAGTGTAATGACTGAACATTGGAATTAAGCTGCTATAAATAAAGCTAGGTTCTATCAGAAAGTGATCTGTTTAACTGGTCTGGCAATTTTTAAAAATGCTTTTTATTTGTGTTATGGCCATGTCTATAGATTCCAGCTCCAAAGAGCTCTATTTAGACTTGTTTCATAGCTCACCTGAGCCATAGGCAGACAAAGGGCTATGGCACACTGTTTTTGGAAACAGCAAGAGAAAGTCCCACTATGTAGCAGAGCTACTTAATACTTACCTAAAAATGATTTCCTCAGTTCTTCGTATTTTGCATACTTCTGTTCTGTTTCTCTCTGGGTTTCTTCCAAGGTTAGCCTGCTTATGTTTAATTCTTGTTCTTTTTTAAGTAGATTTTCAGTTGCAGTTTTGATGTCATTCTTTAATGAAACTAAATATTAATCAATAATCTATCTAAGCAGCATTTAATGCATAAATAATTCAACATATCTGGGGGAGGGGACCAAACCAGAAAGGAATACTGGAAGTGATCCCAAAAGGTCATCTTAGTCCATCTCTCTGCTGTACAGCAGAATCAATTAGACCTAAGTACCCATGACAGATGTTTGATTTGTCCTTAAAAACCCTAGTGGTAGAGATACCATGTCTCAGACAACTGATTTCAGGGTTTTACTATTTGTGCTGTCAATGCTTTCTTAGGGCCTAACTTTTTCTTAAGTTAAGTCTACTCTGTTCCCTGTTACTTGTCTCAACAAGCAGACAAGGGGGAAAGCTTATCACCTTGTTATCTATTTTTATTTGGTAGTTACTACCATGTCTTCTGTTAGATTTACCCATTTTAAATGGAAAAGCTGCACATCATTTTTTTCTGATCATCTTTACTTAGCTCCTCTTGGACCTCAAAATAATCTACATCATCCTTAAATGATGTGATCAATACCAGACACTGTACTCTAGCTGTATCCTACCAAAACCAGGTAGAGTGGAAAATTTACATCATGAGCCTTGCCAGGCTATCTGCCTCTTTATACAGGCTGGTTTGACAGTTGCCTTTTTCATTACTACAAATTTTTGTTGACTTATGTTCAACTTGTCAGCTTTAGTCCAATTTATCACTGCCTAAACACCTCCCCCATGATGGATTTGTACAGTCAACTGTTTCTACTTAAATGCAAAAACACATTATTTTTTTTATTATGACCTTTTTCCCCAAAATTACTTCTCCAACTTGCTAAAATAATTCTGAATTCTAGTTCTTCCCTGCAGAGCATGCTCCTACTCTTAGCGTGTTTGTCATCTGCAGATACGACAAGCATTCACTTTATCCTATCACTGAGTAATGAAGGAAATTACAGATTAATTCCAGTCTGAGAGCAAACCTCCCGCAAACTAACGGGGACCGTTATTCTGTAAAGCATGGGTAACTGTTATCTAGGATGATTTTCCATCTGTTTTTGTACCTGGGATTCTTCAGCCTGGAAAAGAGACAACTGAAGAGATACACAATAAAGGTGTGTAAAAATCACACATTTTTGCTGGAGAAGATGAGAAGACAACAGTTATTCACTGTGTCTCATAACACAAGAACTGCAAGATGCCAATAAACTTTTGAGACAGCAGGTTTAAAACAAAAGAAAATTCTTGTCCTTATTAAATAAATTATAGGTTGTTATGGAGGATAAATGTATACATGAGCCAAAAGAATCAATCAATGATAGGAGAATATTTCACTGAAGATCCAGCATAGCATAAAATTCCATCAAAAGCTATTAAATGCAGATACCAGCTCCATCCAAAGAAGTTCCTGACACTTCATTTTTTTCTGATAAATTATAGAGAAAAAGGGTCCTTCTATATTTGACTAGTCTTAAATTACTTTTCCAAGCAGGACTATTGATCACTGCAGAAGACAGGATCCTGGTAGGACCAACTTTGTGTCTTACCCAGTATGGCTATTTTGGGAACTGAAGCTGATTTGAGCTTCACTCGCTTGTTCTTGATGTGCACTTAAATATAATCATGAATAGCTCTGAAATGGCTTCAGCAACTTAGTTACCTGAAGGTGAATTTCATTAGGCTCAGATGATCTGAAGGCATCTGAGTTCTCTAGGTACGCTTGCTAAGTGGTTCCTTCCCTGAGATGTTACTTTTCTGATGCTACCATTAGTATATTAGACATTTCATTCTGCTGACCCACCAGTGAAGCAAAACAAAGTTCAATATTTCTTTGCCTTACCACAAATATAGAAGGCTTTCACGTTATTCCACATGTCCTTTACTATCAGCATGTCATTCTGTGGCTTGACCTGTCTCATGTTATTGTTCCATGCCCAGCTATATGCATATTTTTTTAGTCATACTAATATTTGTTTAATACAAATGTAACTAACTACAATGCTCCTGGATCTGAGCTGTACCCCTATATACAGGGCTGCACAGACTTACCAGCCTGGGAATCTTTGCACTCTGTTATGTCAACATGGGGAAGAAGAACTATTCGCTCTCAATGACTAAGCAGATCACCACCTAAATACCATTACAAATCTGTACATTTTAATCTTTCTCTATCTCACTCCTTAGCTTTAATAAAATCTGACCTTTGGTTTTAGAGACAAAAAAAAGTCCAATTCAATATATGTGCATCTCAGCATAGTGGATCTCATCTTGGTTAGAGAAAAAGGAACACAAGTCAAAGTTAAATGACTTTTCAGTGGAAAAATACATGTCTTCTCTTTTGCTGCAATAGGTAAAAACACAGAAAGGGACAACAGGAACAACCTCTATAGATTGGGAGACTTGAAGAACAATGTTAAGAGAGAGACAAGATGATACGCAAGAAATAAAGCCATATAAAGAAATGAAACTGGGCCCAGGATGTGAAAAGTTTAGGACTCTAAACTCACTTCTTTACAGGACATTAATGTCAAATGCTGCACTACATGTTTTTGTTCCCTCAGACTCTGAAGTCGGGGAAGTCATATCCACTCTTGTGATCAAAGATGAGAAATAGCAGAAAACCTCAAAGTATAGATGTTTGGATATGCAGAGGAGCTGTATTTTTAAGGACTGTAGCAGAGGGATGGGTAAAATAATGAAAAAATTTGAAAACATGGAGAACAGACAAGATGGCTCTTTTGACAGAAACAAGTATGTGAAGAAAGTGGAGAAAGAAAGGTGATCTGAGTCTCATTTCTATGGACTACTTTGGTATCATGCATCACCGTCATGCTCCAGACAGAGCAGAATCAACCTGATCTGACATGACTCTTAAAAAGGAATTTATTCCCCTTACCTAGACCACCTCCATGAAACAGCATTCAGGCAGAATCATTTTGCAGGTGGAAATAGTGCAAGAAAATGCTGAAAGCTCCAAAAGTGAAATGGGAAAGAAAAAAAGAAACTTAAATTGTTTCATCAAAATGGTAGGAAATGAAAACAAAGCAGAAAAACAGTTCAAAAAGGAGAAAATGTTAGAGTATGACACTGAATGAAAATAAACAGCTACAATTACTTTTTCAACTTTTTTCAACTTTTTCTGTCCAGGGTACCAAAGGAAAGGACAACCCTCTAATAACAGTTGCATCGGCACTATATTAGATGAGGGAAAAACTCTTTTGGAACGGAACACACTAAAGAAAAGACAGAGTGTGTCAAGGTATATTTAGCATCTCTTTTGTATATTCTGCATAGCTTACCTGCCAGAAAGAGCATAAGAATTAATCCAGCACAATTGTTTACTTAGGAGTGATAGTCTCAGCCCTGATTTTTAGGAAAGCTTGAGCAGTTACATGACCATAACTGTTTTGCATGATATGGGAGTATAACCTCTCCACCAGCAAAATGAGACAGATCCTTAAGGCCTTCTGTAAATCTACCTTTCAGACATACAAAGAAGGTATTTCCTACACTCCTGGCACCTGATTTATCCTGTCTCAAATCAGACTGTTGACCAAGTGTCAGACAATTTCCCTGGGAATAGAGCATATGCTATATACCAAAGATCAGAGAAGCCCTCAAAATCTTTGAAAGCTCTGCATAGTTGATATTCAGTATTTTTATGTCCTGTTTTCTTTGGGAAAGAAAGCTCATCGGTGTTTTGAAGAACACTGACACTAAGTAGCCTTGGGTTATGTCTTGTACACCATCAGTCACTCCTATAGATTTACAACAATAATTCAGAGGAGAATTTGACCCATATCTAAAAATCAAGCTGCCATATTTCCACAAATGTTGCCCTTTTTACCCAAAAATGATGAAACAAATTCTACATTAACAGGTGTCCTGGTTTCATCTGGGATAGAGCTAATCTATCAATCAGGTTACACATTGGGAGGCTCACTACAAAGCTAAACTGGATGCATCTCAGGACTGAATCTGGTCCTGCACATATTTTTATTTTAAAATGGGAGGCATCCCTTCTGAGAAACACCTTCACTGCATTCTTTTGACAGAGATGCCCGTATGTACATGAATATATATATGCGCATATACATATATATATATCTGAGGGTCTTAAGTGCTTTTAAGCATAAGAAAAACCCCAAAACCAACCCAAAAAGTAGAGAACTTTCTTGAAACAATTACTGATAGATGAGTCACATTTAAGCATAGCTCCAATGAGCATAGCTGCAATGAAGTGCAACAAACACTGCTAATTCATCCATCAGAAAACTTCCCAAGGTTAATAAAAAGAGCAACAAAAAACTTACCTCCAGACATTTCATTTTGTTTGTAAAATCCTCATTATAATTCCTGTAATCATTTTCCCTCTTACTTGCCTCTTCATTCAGGGCTTTGATTTGGTTTTCAGACTGAAAAAGCTCTTTCTCAAGGTCTTCAATCTCATGATGGAAAGCAAAATAAAGGTCAGTGATTTCCGAAATACATAATGTCTACTTGGACCACTCGGAAATAAGCAATTAGAGCAAAATCAGAGCAATCTGCATTTAAAACACAAACACCTGCTAAGATAAATAATTGTTTTTAAATTGTTTTTAGTAGGAGTTAAGGTCAGATCACAGAATGGTTGAGGTTGGAAGGGATGTCTGGAGGTCATCTTGTCTAACCTCCATGCCCAAGCAGGGCCACCTAGAGCAAGTTGCCCAGGACCATGTTCAAATGGCTTTTGAATATCTGCAAGAATGGAGGTATTTAACTTTTTAGACACTGAAGATCTTTAGACCTGATATCATGTTTAACAGCTTACAAAGAATTGGCCCTTGGAGTTTACTTACTTAGGTGTTAGTTTACACTGAGTATGTACAGCATGAGCGCATCATAACACTGGATGTAATGGGTTATAATACCTGCTGTTTAACATACCTCCAGAAGTAGTTCAGCATGCCTTTTTTTGCCAGCATCTATTCTTTCATTAACTTTTCTGTTTATATTCTCCTCCTCTGAGAAAAAGAGTTTTCTCTGCTTTGCTAAGTACAATAGCTTCCACTGAAGCATTACTCTGGTGACAGACACATAAGCAGAAATAAATTGAAATTGGGAGAAAAAACAGAAAAGGGTGACAACATTATATGAAGCACTGCAAGCCTAATTTAAGTGATTGTAAGACTCAACCATATACCCTATAACTTCAGGACTACAATCAAAATTATTTGGATAGAAGTCTAGGATCCTGACAAAATCTAGGAAAGATGCATGAAAAGACAAAAACCTTTTAAAGAGCCTCTCTGTACTGAACTTGAAGGAGGAGTCTTAAGGTGACTAGTCTCACTTAAGTGCCTCCGTTATGTGCCTAAAATTAGTTAGTATAAGTCTGGACCAAATAATTTGGTTAATTTAGCTTAGCAAATTGGAAGGGACAAGATTTCATGTTCATAAAACCCTAGGGTTTGTAAACTGTGAAAAGGATAAAAAACAACACTGATACAAAACCAAAAAGACACTAGTTGTCTATGTGAAAATGCAGACTGGAAGTCATAAAAAAAACCACTGTTAGCCATCAAAAGAATAAGGTTCTAGAGTGACACCTTAATGACAGTAAGGGGGGAAAGCAACAACAGGTTTTTGGATTGAGTATGATTATTTTCTGAGGACAAAGTTATGATGTAATACTGAGGGGAGAACCAGACTGAACTAGATGACTAAGAAATCTCCAGATCTCTTTGCATCTTATGTGGCAGAACAATCAAATGAGAAGTCAGAGCTGCAGAGTTAGTCTGAAGTAGCTGAACAGATAATGGGTTTATTTTGGAGAGTATCCTATCAGCTCCAGGGGGCTAAGCACTTTCTTGAATCCACGTTTTTTCTTGCCAATAATAGGTATAAATCCCATCAGGATCACATTCAAGGAGGCATTAATGGAAGAAAAAAACCCCTATCAAGTACATAGGTCCCAATACTCTGAAGAGAAGGTATCTCCATATTGGTGTGGAGTGATAACACCTCAAGAACCAGATACACAAAACTGATCTTAGACAAACGAGCAGACCTCCAGAAGCTTCAATTAAAATCTATCAGTTGCTTAGAAATTCAAAACTAGCAGGAAATCTTTATATCACTCTCACTTTAACTCCAGCTACAATCATTCACTTAGATTTATCCAACTCAAGGCATTTTCTATAGGTATCTCACACCACTGTGGGTAGACATGTGTGCATATATGAAGAATGATGCAAACTACTTCATGGCAGATACTCTGAATATACATAAAATAACCCTTAGTCTTTTTGTGACCTTTGTGTAACATGCTCCTCACAATTGTCTCTAATGGTTTTCCAAAAATAGTTTCAGCAGAAGACACTGCTAAAGTAATGAAAAATACATAAGATCAAGGAAGAAAGATTAACCTGAAAATACAAGGATATACCATTTTTACTGACTCTGGCAAACGGTTTATCTGTATAACAGCTGGAACCCCAGATCCCACCAGTCTGATGACCTGATTTAAAAAGGTGCTCAGCACACAAAGCTCCCATACTCCCTAGCTGGAGCTATGGGTGCTTGATACTGCAGGGAACTGAGACCTTTTTTTTTCACATTGAATTCAATGGCAAAGTTCACATTGACCTCAAAGGTGCATGACCAGCTACTAATGAGCATTAATTTAAATTAATTAAAATAATATTAAAGAAACAAATAGTTTTACAGATTATATAAGTGTCCATATCCTGGAAAAATCCCAAATAGCTTATAAATTAAAGTAGAACATTTACTGTCATAATGATTAAATGCCACTTACATGGTAAGTTCAGTGGTTCTTACCATTTGGCAGTATAGCAATACTATTCAAATGAAACCGTGGGTATGTTTGACGAAATGCCCTTTTATTTGCCATTATATCGCTGAATATTTATATAGTGATGCTTTGGGTTTATATCTCTGATATAATAGCAGCAACAAGGTGCAGTAATTCATTAAGCTGCTGCTTTGTTTTAAAGATACAATGCATATTTTCTACTTTATCCTACCTCTTCTTATTTTCTGTCTTCAAGTCTTGCTCTAGAGATGCCAGCTCTTCTGCGTGGCTCTTCTTGTTATTTCTGGGGGAAAAAAAGATAAAGTTTCCAAAATAATGCTGAAGATTTGCAGAGGACTTAGTTTATGTCAAATTTTGTACAGTTTTTGAAAATTTCCTTACTACCAACCAACATGCTAAGCACTTACACCAGTTGGAGAGAGGCAATATGGTACCTGTGGGTCACATCTCAAGAACATATACATACTATACTGTTCAACCATAACTGTGTGTTAAACTTTGTTTCTTAGGCTGAAAACATCAGTTTAAAGTTAAGAGTTAGGAACCAACGTGAATCCAGGAGTATTTTTTTCAAGCCAGAAACAATAAACAAATGCAAAACACAAGAACAGATGTTTCAGAAGCAACAACAGGCCAGGTGGACAAATCTATTTTAATTCCTTAGCATGTGTTTTCTAGTGTATCACGTGTTGTAAATATGGAAATGCATGAACTTTATACATATTCAACACATGCTAGGAGAATCCAATACAATAAAAAAGGTTGGTAGCATGAAACCAGTGATTCTCACTCCTTCAAGACACAAAGGCAGTGGGAAGCACCCACTCCACACCCCATGAGGATTTACAAAGAGTTAATATGGGTCTTTCTTCCAAAGTTTTTATTATTCCAAACACAAAGCCAAATGTATCAGGCCAGTACTGTAAGACATTTACGTAGTACCAGAATGTGTCCCAAATCTTTCCTAGATTCCCCTGAAAAATCATAATTCTATTCCACACTTTCCAAAACTACATTCACTGTTGCGAAGTCACAGAATCACAGAATGATTAAGGTTGGAAAAGACCTTTAAAATCAGCAAGTCCAACCATCAACCCAACACCACCATGCCTACTAAATGCATGTCCTCAAGTGCCACGTCTACACGTTTTTTGAATGCTTCCAGTGATGGTGACTCCACCACATCCCTGGGCAGCCTGTTCCAATGCTTGTCCACTCTCTCAGTGAAGACATTTTTCCTAATATCTAGTCTAAACCTCCCTTGGTGCAACTTGAGGCCATTTGCTCTTGTTCTATCACTTGGGTTACTTGGGAGAAGAGACCAACACCCACCTCATCACAACCCCCTTTCAGGTAGTTGTAGAGAGCAATGAGGTCTCCCCTCAGCCTCCTCTTCTCCAGACTGAACAACCCCAGTTCCCTCAGCTGCTCCTCATAAGACTTGTGCTCCAGACCCCTCACCACTTTCATTGCCCTTCTTTGGACACGTTCAAGTGCCTCAACATCCTTCTTGTAGCGAGGGGCCCAAAACTGAACTATTTGAGGTGCAGGCTCACCCATGCCGACTATCGGCATACAACCACTTCCCTACTCCTGCTGGCCACACCATTTCTGATACTATTTCTGATACAGGCCAGGACGCTGTTGGCCTTCTTGGCCACCTGGGCACACTGATGGCTCATATTCAGCCGGCTGTCAACCAGCACCCCCAAGTCCTTTTCTGCTGGGCAGCTCTCCAGCCACTCCTCCCCAAGCCTGTAGCGGT